GAATAGGATGTGAAGCACTGAAAAAATTGCACAAGGGGGTGGGCATGAGCCGTGTGAATGAAGTTCTAGATCAGGATGAGTATTATTCTCATATAGTAAACCTCCAACACTATTTTTGCAATGGGCAAATAGTCCAGGGGTACTTGTCACCGCTGCATGTCATGTGCTTGCCCAAAATGGAAGGTAACTAATGGTGTAGAGGTTCGAATCATGAGCTGTGATAACATCTGTTACTAATTTTTTTTATTCTTTGAAGTCATGTCTAGATCTTTTATTTTTTTCATGAGCAATGCCTTTCATTTCTGTGCTTTTTATATAACAGCTTCATCCCCCTCCTGCTCTCGCTCGTGCATGGATTATAATTAGGCCGGTAGCTTGTACTCGGATATCGACCTCAAATCAATGCATGGGATGGAAGCGTCATGTTTCTGCATAAAGATACCAGTCAGATGTCATGGATCCCTTCTACACTGCAGCCTCCCGGCACTTTGACGACCTCTTCGCACGCTGCGGCACGCCAATCATGATTCTGACCTCATCAAGGAACGCGAACCGGTCGTACGCGAATCGAAGCTCAGCGTCGAGTACGGAGAGTGACGTCAAGCACTTGAATCAATTCTTTCCGCGGGACAAGCGGATGATTTATCGCGCGTGGGACATGTCGCGGGCGTATAAGGAGTGAGCCACACTTGACTACGTGCAGGCACCCGGTGCTCAGTGCTGATAATGGTAATGCAGAATGCAAAACGTGATCGGGTACCTGGAAGGTACCGCGGAGGAGTCTGTCCAGACAACGGGCTTTTTCCACTCAGGATCAGAGCTATATTCGCATGCATGGCAAATGGAGGCAGAGTACGTGGCACTGTCATCTATCCCACCGTCGATGCTCATCCGCTTTGATCGCTAGAGCGTAGGCAGAATCCAGGCATTACATGGCGTAGCACGATGTCACTCCAGAATGGCATCAGCCGCGCAAACTGCGTCGACTGCCGTGACCAGACGAATGCCGCTCAGTTTGTCTTCGAGAAACGCGCACTTGGCCACCAGCTGTACGCGCTCGGTGTAGTTGATTCATCTTATCTGGCATTCGATTCAGATGCTGTGAATATGCTGACGGAAATGTACCATGACCACGGCGATAGTAAGTCGTCTGACCAGCCAGGTGGTCCCAGATATGAATGAACACTGCTCACTCAGGTTTGGCACTGCAATACACCGGAGGTGCACTCGTCAATCGGGTCGAGATCTATCGACACATGCCAGATTGGAACAGTCGCTCTAGAGACATCATCGACAATCTCCGCCATTTTCATGCCAACTCTCTTCTCGGTAAGCTCATGCACTACCGTCGTTGTCTATGAAGCATGCCAATTCATGCGGAGTAGATGCTGACAAGCAAACCGCTATTAACCTCTTCCTCGTCATGAGTCTCGACCAGCAAAAACCTCGCCCTCTCCAACGCGATGGGAATCAGAAATGGTACAAAGAAAAGCATCTCGAGCTGGCCTACGTGTAAGAAGACTGTCAGAGAGGCATTATACAGTTTGTCAACACGCGCGGGGATTACTGGATCAAATATTATCGGCCATTACTATTCACTTCCTTAGGGAAGCACTTTGCGTTTTCAATGAATAGCACGTTCAAGCCATCTGGGCATGTGCTCTGAAATCTCCTTCTGGCAAATGTAGACATTGATTTGTAGTTGCAGGAACACAGCACGCGACGAAAATAACAGTCCGTTCCTCCC